AGCTTGAGGCTCTGTCTCAAAAAAAAAAAAAAAAAAAAGAAAGTGTGGAGCTCAGTCCGCTGCCCGGGTTCCCAAATCCCAGGAGAGGGTGTGAGAAGGCCATACAGGAGGATGTGGCCACACCTTTCTCTTGCTCCCATGCAGTCTGTCAGCCGGGCGAGTGGCAGGGACAGGGATGTGTGGGGATGCTCTGCCCCTGTGGTGCTCCCAGAGCCGGCAGCCACTAGTGACCTCGCAACCCCAGCCTGGGCTGGTGACCACTTGACGTGGCCCTGCCAGTGCAGACCCTGGCAGCTCTGGGCCTCCTATCAGCAGAAGTGCCCTGGGTCCCTCTGCACACACCCCACCAGCCACGAGTCTTCAGCACCTGTTTCTAGAGGCCCTCCTGACACAGTCCCTGTGTGCACAAGGCCTCAGCCCCTGCGGAAGCTGGACTTTCTCTGTGAGCCTGACGTGAAAATGATGCTCAAAAGACACTACCAGGAGCAAAGCAAGGATGGATGAAAATTACCCACACCTGACGTAGCGGACACACCACTATTGATTTAGCCATCTCTCAATTGCTGCTGTTTGGGTTGTTTCCAGTTCAGGGCTCTCATGAATAAAACTGACTGTGACATTCTCCGACAAGTCTGTGGGTGGATACATATTTTCATCTCTCACCCCTAGGAGGGGCAGCTGGGTCATTGTGCTGGCCACATAGTCAGAATGTCTTTGAGGGCTGGTCAAAACTGGTTACCTCTGATCTGATCTGGCTGCCTCATTTTGTGAAGAGACCCACAGGGCTGAAGCTAGACAGAATCTGGGACCCCAGGAGTCAGCTGGAACTCTCTTCAGTGCCCACACCCCTCCCTCTCAGTTCTGAACCTAGACTATACCCCGTTAAATGATCTTGAAGGCTGCATAAAAACATTTTCAGATATAAAAGGTCCAGAAAGTTTTCTACATGTGTTCTCTCTTAGAAAGGTATTTGAGGGTGGTGCCTGTGGCTCAGTGGGTAGGGTGCCGGCCCCATATACCGAGGGTGGAGGGTTCAAACCCAGCCCCCGCCAAACTGCAACAAAAAAATAGATAAGGGCCATGCCTGTGGCTCAAATACCGGAGGTGGCAGGTTCAAACCCAGCCCCAGCCAAAAACTGCAAAAAAAAAAAAAAAAAAAA